TGAGGAGGAGGAAAGAAATTAGTGAGTTGCATTAACTTTTATTTAAGATTTAAGTTTTTTTATTTTATTTCAAAGCTCCTTCTGGCTCAGCAGCAGAAGCATAAATAATACTGTTAAGAAAGCTGATGATAAAGCTGAATAAAAATCTAAGTCTGATTATGAAGAGAAATTAAATATCTGACAGTAATCATTACATGGGTCGGATGGTGGGCACAGAGGACTTTCAGAGACATGTTTGATCTGGGAAACATGAAAGGGTGGGGTGAATGCTCATAGGAGGAAGTTTAAGTCTTACTGCAGATGGATTGATGATTCTCTCAATGTGGAATGGGCCTGTAAGAGAAATTTGTTTTCAATAAACTGAAGTCGATATTAAAACCGCCATTGTTAAATAAAATGATTTGTAGAAGGAATCAAACCATACAACACCAGAATTCTGGATCTGAGTGAGGTTTATTGCCACCGAAGCTGACAGGAAACCACACTGGCGAAAAACCAGGAAGTTAAAGCTGCTGTATGTAGTTTCTTGAAAACCCAAAAACTTAGAAAAATTTTGAACAGATACAACCTTGTAGTCCCAACCCCCTGCTCTCAGCTCCCCTTCCTAAGCTCCTCCCCCACAGCAGGGCCCAGACTCGGGAGCGCGCACGCTTGTTAACAGGAGGTGAGCCACCGAAACACAGAGTTCAGAGCTAAGCTGCCATCACAGGTAAGAACAAACCATCAACAATATATTTTTAACTATCATGTCTTGCCCATACTTTATCTACACAACTGCTCCTTTTGTCATAACGTTACATGTAAATTATGTTGCACTCTTTCTATAAGTTATAAATAGCTATCAAGCTAACACAACACCGAAGCTGCGCAGTGGTTCTGAATTCCGGTCCTCATGACCCACTATCCTGCATGTTTTAGCTGTTTCCCTGCTTTGGAACACATGATTTAAATGAATGAGTGATTGACAGGCTTCTGCAGAACTTAAAGACCTGCTGAAGAGCAGGGAAACATCTAAAACATGCAGGATAGTGGGCCATGAAGACCGGAATTCAGAACCACTTTTCAGCAACATTAGTAAGTGTGTATTAGTGTGTATTAGTAGTACTCTTGCTTTGCACAGTGTGATATTTTATCTTTATGCTATGCAGATAGTTTTTGACAATCATCATCTACCAGCTGATGGAGAGAAGCTGTGGTGAAGAATCACGCAGGTCACTGGGAGACGCAGCAGCGTGGGTTCAGCTCCTGAGAACCTCAGCAGGACATCTGCATCTCAACCCTACCTTCCACTCATCAAACCATATATTCTGCAGGCAGGAGTCTTGTTTCTGGCCAGGAGGATCTGTAGCTGACCTTACAGATGATGCTGAAGACAACAGGCAGTTTGTGGCTTGTACTTCTGGTCAGAGCAGGCTGCTGAGTGTGGACTTCAAGGACTGTTTTAAACATCTTCATGGACAGTACAGTAGATTTATTCCCTTGAGGCTATACATTTTTAATACTGTCTTGCTATGCATTAAACATTTTTCCTATTTAAATTAATATTTCTATTATAATTTTGGTAAATATTCTTCAATAAAGTGTTGAGTGGTTTTAGTTTTTTGTAACTGCTTATTAGAACTAAAGCATCACTTTACCATTTAACATTACTGAACTATCTTTTGAGCAATTACAAAACACAAACTTACATTACATTACAATCATGATAAATCACTGGGTCAGTGCTAGACATGCAAAACAAAAACATCTTAAAAATATGCTCTTAAAAACTTGTCTTTTTTAATAGACACTGTTATTTTATGTCTCTTGTGGTAACACACTGAAACGTGTCCAGTATGTCTGAAGGGACCTAAAATAACTTTGTCTAGTAAAAAACAAAAGTTTTTAAAGATTTACCAGATATATAGGCACAATTAGCTTCACAGGATTATTAAATATATGCTTTATTTGACATATGGGTAAAATAAATCAGTTATTTGTTTGCACAGGTAAATACATTATTGTTGAAAGATGATTCCTCCATATTCCCGTGTGTCTGGGACAGTTTCTGACCTGTTGAAAGAGCATAAAGTACAAGATGTTTTAGATATTTTGATCACAAAGGATTACTGTACATCCTGAGGTGGAAGAAAACTTTTTGGCAGCAAAATATCAGGAATTCTGAATTTTATTTTATATACTTGTAGACCAGTGGTTCTTAACCTTTTTTGAGGTACCGAACCCACCAGTTCCGTATGCGCATTCACTGAACCCTTTTTATTGATAAATAAAATATGATTCTTTTTTCCAAAATCAAGCCGTAGGTATATGTTTTTTTACAGGTGTATAAAATGAGCCGTGCATGAACATCACYTTGCTCAAAGAACAAAACCAACACAGTGCATGAACTCACAACAAATTACAGTATGACTTTATTCTGGCACCCCCCAAAAAATTTTGGCCCCATAAAAAATTTCAGCCCCCAAAATATATATATTTT